CTCGCCCAGGAAGTAAGGCATCTGTGGAGGATGGAAAGGGTGCTTATTGTACCTGTTGTTCTCTCCTGTACAGGTGTGATACCACACACACTACAGAAAAGCCTGGGAACATTACAATTGAATAGAAATACATACATCACACTACAGAAGGCCACTATATTGAATACATGCCGCATTGTTAGGAAATTCCTGAATACTGACACTGACACACTTATTTAATTATAGTTTTGTCTTGGTTGCTATGCCTTGACTCTGGTCCGGCATAGTACACAGCCACTGGTTTAACCGAGTATTACCCACTGAACCCAACACAATAATAATAATAATAATAATAAACACAGTTAAAGCAATAAACACATATGTCATCCCAGTACTCACATACTTTATTGGAGTTATACATTGGACTCACACAGATCTCGAGCAACTCCAAAGGAAAACAAGAACAACACTTACTAAGCATAAACAACATCATTTTAAATTTGCCACAGAAAGATTAACCCTTCCACGTAAAGATGGCGGATGTGGCCTGATTGACATAGTTAACCTTCACTACAAACAAATACAGTCACTGGAGAGTTTTTCTACAAGAAACAAGAAACATCACATTACATAAAGCAGTAACTCTAGCAGATTTAAATAACACACCATTAAACTTACACTCACAACATACAGACATGACACAACATATAAAAAGCATAGACAACATTAAGCAACCGTGGGCTCAATAGGCTCTCCATGGCAGGCATCCTTACGACCTGGCCCAGGATTTTGTTGACAAAACTGCGTCAAACAGCTAGTTAGATCGGGGATGCCTCTTTGGGAAGACGGAAGGATTCATGATTGCCATACAGGATCAGGTTATAAATACTAAAAACTACAGAAAACACATACTCAAAGATACAACACTCGCAAACGACACATGCAGAAAATGTCACATCATGCCAGAAACTATACAACACATCACTTCTGGTTGCAAGCTCTTGGCACAGACAGATTACTTACACAGACATAATCAAGTAGCAAATATAATACACCAAGAGCTTGCAAAGAAACACAACTTGGTAGACATTCACGAACCATACTACTAGTATACTCCACAGACAGTATTGGAAAACTACACGCACAAAATGTACTATGACAGAGCCATAATCACAGATAAAACAATTTATCACAACAGACTAGACATCACACTCATTGACAAACACAATAAAATCACATACATTATAGACATAGCCATTCCAAACACTCACAATGTACAAAACACATGCACTGAAAAAATTAGCAAGTACACAGAACTCGCCCAGGAAATAAGGCATCTGTGGAGGATGGATAGGGTGCTTATTGTACCTGTCGTTCTCTCCTGTACAGGTGTGATACCACACACACTACACAAAAGTGTGGGAACATTACAATTGAGTAGAAATACATACATCACACTACAGAAGGCCACTATATTGAATACATGCCACATTGTTAGGAAATTCCTGAATACAGACACACACACATATTTAATTTTAGTTTTGTTTTGGTTGCTATGCCTTGACTTTGGTTCGGTATAGTACACAGCTACCGGTGTAAACCGAGTATAACCCACTATTTATTAAAAATAATAATAATAATATCATTAAAATAATTATTTAAGAAATTGCGATGATTTAAATACATTTAAGTAATAAACAAATTTTATTATTACGGGAGATGACAGTGTTGGATAGGGTTATGTCTCGTGACTACGTTTGGTGCGTTTCCATGCGATCTAGCGGTTGCGCACGGGACCGCGGACCCTATCCTAAGCAGGATACATGCGCACATACAGGATACTTGTAAAACTGCCGCTTTGCACATAATGGCGCCCATCTGACAATTCGGGGGATTTTGCGATAAAACAAAGTACCTCCGGGAATTGTAAACATAAATAGTGCACGTATGCTTTTCGTTGGTACGGTAGATTAATTTGTTTACAAAGACGGAATTTGGCGCCGAGCGCTAAAGGAGAAATTCAGATGCCAACGTTGCCAATAGCAGCACAAATTTCAGTTTGGCGCGGCTAAACTTCCGGCTGGACGATGTCGACGCGTATGCGTTTCGACACACGAACACGTCTGCCGGGCGGTCCTGAATGACAGAATTGTCTTCTGTTTAACGCCGAATGAGTAGAATTCCGAGACCACGGCCGCCGACACTCCGGCGGCATGGCGCAACAAACGTGGACCAACTGTTTGTTAGGGCCGGTGGAAGCCGGCGGCTGCGGCAAAGGATACTTTTTAAGCGTTTATTCTATGGACGAAAGGTTTCCGTTTCGTCCGAAGAAATGCAAAGCGTTTTTTAAAAAAATTTTTTTATGTACATTAAATGGAAATTTACAATTATTGTTGTTAAAAGTAATGTTACAGTACTGGTAATAACACGCCGTTAAATCACATGAAATTTTATAGTACGATGATGATATTTTTTTTTTTTTTACTTTTACTATCGCATGACATTTGCATAAGTGTTGCCCTGACGTGCACGTGGTGGCCAACACACGCAACAGTGCTAGTCATCAAAGTGGACATGGCATTGAACCCGGTAAGTAGCTTAAGCATTTTTCTGTATGAAATTAATTTCGAACTGTTTCTCTCTGTACAACCGAAATGTATTCGATGACATTTTCGTAAGTAATAATCGAAATGCGTATCGCTTTTATTCACGTTCTAAGGAAATGCGAAGACGTGCTATCATCACAGCGTTCTTTTGCTAACTGGAGGAGTCGGGCGTTTGGGACGCCGTAACCGCAGGTTTGGTTCTTTTTGTTTTTGTTATTTCAGTACGTAATTACCCGTTTAGTTGAGTTTAAGTTGTCTTTTTGTTTCCTTTCTTTACAGCACTGCTGGCTGTGTGCGGAACCGGAGCGGCTGGCCGACCCTCTCATGTAAGGTTTTTTACAGTTTTTTGTCGTTAAAGATAAGATACAGGTGCATAACCGAAATACAGTTTACACGTAAATGTCAAGCGTGAACAATAATAAGCCGAATTTGTGTTTTTCCTCTTTTCTGTATATGTTTTGGCACGCGTCTGTCGTAAGTGTACGTCATTCGATACGCTGTGGTAACCGAACAGGTAGTTTTTTACATCGCTGGTCGAAAGAAATGCAGGAAGACGTTCGGTCGAAACGGGTTTCGAGCATTTCTAGGCGATTTGCGTTTTCGCAAACACAATATGCTAACCCTGTTGTTTCGTTCCGCCATAGGTACATCGCCCGACAGCTGGGCGGCCATGATCTTGCTTGTGTGGAATTGATGCGGAGCCAGTTAGTTGCCTGCCAACAGTTGGTGCTCGAACTGGAGGAAGAAAACAAACAGATGCCAGCTGAGGTAAGCGCAAGTACGGAATATTTTTCTACATGTAACGTAGACTATCAATACAGCTTTCGGTTTAGTTAGTTCGATCGCATACAGACACCGTCTGTTTGTCTACAGATAACATTATAAACGTCGGCCTAATTTCTGTTATATGCAAACGTCGTACGACGATAAAGTGTTTGCTCGACTTGTATTACGCTGTTTATTCTTACATCGAAAGTAATTACTGTACGCGATCTTTCTGTATGTTTATTTTGTGGATGTCATTTATGATCTCATCGGAGTCGTTTACACTATCGATGGGATCTATAATGGTTTATAATTGCTTTTTAATGTAATATTCTAGATTGTATAGTGTCGAGTATCAAAAAGCAACGATCGGTATGCATTTTTCTTCTTTTTCTTTGTATTTTTTTAAAGTTATTCACAAAGTTGGAGATGTATTATAATTTTATGAATAAGTATGTTGAACAGATCGAACTATACAAAGAGGATGCCGTCGAAATTGTCGGGGACGGAGAAAAAGAGGGCCGCAGCAGTGCCGATCCGTAAGGCATTTGTGGCGTTGATTAAGTACTGGTCTGTTTACAAATGTTTTCGCATCTCAAGAAGCATGCGAATATTTCGCGGACGACCGTCATTGACCCGACAGTGAGGGGTGGTGACGGGCCGCACTCAGAGGTATAGCCCCGAAACCAGAAAAGGAAAGAAGAGTGACAGATGTATGTGAAGAGGTAAGGCGAAGGTGAAGGAAAGTGAGATAGGATAGTGTAGAGAGAGTTAGGAATTTATGGGCGCCCTGCATCGCATTTATTAATAATAAGCAAAAAATACATAATACATTAACAATAATGATACAATAAGAGGCAGTTACATTGGGTATGTGGCGCGACAATAGTTAACCGTAAAGATATAGTACAGGATTTTACTGATACAGGATACTATTATGTTTATGCTATGAACAGAGATAATAAGGCGAGTTTCAAGTACACGATTACATGAACAATATGGCACATACAAAGGTACAGCTTCAGTAGGAGGTTTTGTAGATTAATTAACCCTTTACATACCGGGACTCAGTCCAGCATTTTAATGTCCGTAGCAAATTTCTTTAGTGCCTTGTAGTATTTGGCGTTCTCGATCAAGTCGTGGCTTTTGCAAGGCCATTAGTCATTGTTATCCAGTACAGTGTTGATTAGGTGCCTTCTTTCTGTACTGTAAGTTGCACAGTTCCATATGACGTGAGCGGAGTCTTCTTTCTCGTTGAGGTCACATGGGCACCTTCCGTCAGTCTTATGCAGGAATCTTTCCAGATAGCTACGGAAGTTCCCATGGCCGGTGATGAGCTGTGTAACACTAGGTCGTGACAAAATGTTTGTAGCTGTTCCTATTCCGGACGTTCGGGATAAAGCTGTAGGTAGTCCTACCCGTGAGGCTTGTATCCCACCTATTTTGCCAGATTTTCCATGTGTGGTCCCTGATGACATTTTTCATCCAGATGGGCGGTGTTAGGTCGTAGGAATAGTTGTGGCAACGGGTGTGAGCGGTGCGGGCCAGCAGGTCGGCTCTCTCGTTCCCAGAGACCCCGGAGTGGCCACGGACCCAGGAAAAGTTTATTGTGATGTTTTCTTTTAGGGTGAGAAGGAGACTGACGCTTTTATGAACAAGGTTGTGCTTGATATTGAGGTTCTTCAGTTGTAGCAAAGCCACACAGCTGTCACTGTAGATAGTTATGTTACTGAACTTATAGCTGGCATTGTTTTTGTGAATCCACTGGAGGGCCCTGTATATTGCCAGGGACTCTGCCTGGTTGGCCGTGCAGTGATTAGCCAGCTTGTGGCTGGCCTGGTAGATGTTCTTGTTCTTGTTCATGACGACGAAAGCGCAGCCTACACCATTTACGGATCTTGATCCGTCGGTGTAAATACTGAAGTTCGTTGGGGCCATGGGGCCTTCCATGGAGAAGTACTCATCAAGTGTGATCCTGGGATGGTACATTGCTTGTTGGTAATTGTAGTCTAGCTTGTACCTGTTGAGGTGGTTTGATATATTGTTTAATACTGTGCTATCCACCAAATTTCCCATTGCTTTGTTGTAGTCTTGGGTTGTAGTAGTCTGTTTTGCAAGTTTGTTCTGCTGGTAGACCCAAAACTTTACCCTGATAATTAGGTCGATTGGAATCAGATTGGCAGTTGCTAAGAGTGCATCTGTTGGCGCAGTCTTGTAGGCTTTTGTGATGGGTATAAGGGCGAGCCTCTGAGCCGAGAGGAGTTTCCTCTTGATGTGAACTTTAGTGATAGCGGCCCCCCCAGACTTCTGACCCGTAGGTCAGGATTGGCTCGATAACGGAGACGTACATGAGCCGACGAGCCACACTGCCATAACCCCAGTGGTTCCTAGCGATGGAAGCCAGGGAGTGCATGACCGTGACCGCCTTCTCATACACGTAGTGGGCCTGATGCTTCCAGGTAAGCCTATTGTCTAGTATCACCCCCAGATACTTGAGCCGATCGCTGTTCTTGATTCGTTTCCCATCCATCTTGATTATGGGTCGTTTCTGTAGGGGGGTGGACCTCGGGAAGACCACGCAGCTGCTCTTGTCATAGTTGATTAAAAGCTTCATTCTGTGGCACCATTGGGAAATGACACGTAAGATGTCGTTGGCCCTGGCCTGCAGGCCCTCTTGGTTCCTGTGTGAAAGCGCCAAGATGGTGTCATCTGCGTAGCCCTGGATGCTACAGTTGTTGTCCCCTGGGAAGGTAGATCTTAGATTTAAGAGGCTGTTATACATAATGTTCCAAAGGAATGGGCCAGACCTAGACCCCTGGGGGCAGCCTCTGTTAATGGTTTTCTGCAGATGTGTCTGGTTGTTGTTGATAACAGTGATCTTCCTATTTCTCAGGTAATCTTTAACTAAAGCGAAGATGTTTTCTGGACAGCCTGATTCCTTTATGCTAGTAAGGATGGCGGGCCACCATGCGTGGTCAAAGGCCCCCTTGAAGTCTATAGATACTACCATGGTGTGCTCGCCTTTACTTTTGGCTTCTGATATATAGTTGACAATAGTGTCTAATGCTGTTGTCATGCTCCTCCCTCTCCTAAAGCCATGTTGGTTGCTGTTTAATAGGTTGTTGTGCTCATAGTGGTAAATTAACCTATTTACCATGAGACCATCCAATACCTTCCCCAGCACAGGGAGAAGAGAGATGGGGCGGTAGTCAGAGGAGTCAGATGGGTTCCTGTTTTTTGGGATTAGTTTAATTGACACAATCTTCCAGATATCCGGGAAGAGCGCCATTTGTAGGCACTTGTTGTAAATTACACAGAAGGTTGATGGGATGGCTTCAAAGGCCATCTTCGTCATCTTTGGAGTAATGGTGTCTGGGCCAGGAGCCTTCCGAATTTTGAGTTTTTTGAACTCTGCTGCTAGCTCTTGGTTTGTAAACTGGCTGTCCTTGTTGGTTTTTGGACTTATGTGACTATCTTCCCGGATTTTTGTGTGAGCACTATCATCAGTTGATGGGTCGTCTTCAGGGAGAAGGTCATTGAGAATACGGTGGTATGTGTCCTCTATCAAAGTACTTGGGTTATTGATGTTGGATTCGGAGTTGTTGGGAATCTTGCAGTTTTTCACCTTGCCCCTAGCGATGTAGTACGGGGTGAACCAGGGCTTACTCTGCCCCAGGCCCGTGCAGAACTCCCTCCAGGAGTCCGTACGGGCTTTGCAAAGTGAAGTTTTGTACTTTCAGAAGAGCGTTAAATAGTCCTGCCATAGTGCCTCTCACCTGTCCTGGTCCGTTTCACGTCTGAACTTATTCCTTGATTTTCTTAGATTCCTCCTCTGAACAGTCAGGTCCCTGTTCCACCATGGGGCGGATTGCCTTGCTGTATTAATTTTTGTTGCGTTGTGGTAGGCAATCAATCAATCAATCAATCAATTATTGTTTATTATGGTATAATTTTATACATGTTCTGGTACTGCAGTGAGCATCACCAGAAAATGAGGAAACAACAAATCAATAGTGTTACAGATTGTATTGAGCTACAAAATATTTATATATGAGAAAACATAAATCAGAAAACTAATAATTGTTTGTATGATCACAGTAATAAAATTTGAATATATTGTGAGTATAGGATTATATATACATTAAACAAATTGTAATTATATAGTGGTAACAAAAGAAAATGATAAATGATAAGTAAAAGAAATAATAAAATAAAAGTTGGACAGTATGTAGCAGCTTGAGTTCAGAAGCGCTGAAGATGCAGAAAGTCATAGCGGCATAGTCTTCACACAAAAGCTTGCCAAAAGTCGATGAGGAGTCCAGGTGCATTCTAGGTTCAGTTCTATGATCAGATCTAAGTTTATATTGATATTTTAGAGACACAAAGGACCATCATGCACCCTCAGCACACGGTAGTGAGCTGTTTAACTAATTACACAGTTAACAGATAAGTGTAACTCCATCACTCTTCCATCTAGTTTAGTACTGTTATCTTTGAAAGGAAGCTCATATCCCTTCTTAGAGAAGCACCAATTAACCTCGGAGACAACACGAACTGCACTTAGCACAGAGGCACCATAAATCATACCTAGGAGTATCAATTCACGAATTGTGAATGTTTGTGGTAGTTCTTGTAAAATCTTTTAGGTGCACTGTAGAAACACTAGGTGCACGATTGTAAATATTTATGGAAGTTCTTGTAGAAGCACTTAGGTGCACTGTAAGAGACCGTCAGTTTCACTTAATATATGATTAACTTGACACGTAAATACTCTTTGCACAAGATGAACAACAATAGACACAATAGACACAATAATAAACACTGTAGCATTTTATAGATATTAGAAGAAATCTTATAGAAGCTTGAAGAAATACTTGAAGAAATATTTGATTATCTTGAGCAAGGAGAGCACATTATGGAGGTCATTTGACAATATAGAAAACTATGTTACTTGAGAAGATACACTTTAAAGGTAATCCTATCTTCGCTTAATAATACTTGAAGAGGCAGTTGTAATAACTTTTATGAAACACTGAAAAGGTGTTTAATTACTCTTGTCATAGGAAGCACTTAACACAAGAAGCACTATAAGAAAACTTGAAAGTAGTTTAGCGGCGTAAGAACATCAGTGATACACTTGGAGAGGCTATTTTGATGATGCAAAGCAGACTCCTGTATCTGAAAACATACTAAATACACTGTAAGAATTCTGTGTCTAGTAAAAATACATATCTATATACTCATTATAAAGTTCTAGAGAACCAATATAAATGCTCTAAAAATTGCTGACGAAGGTTCAATGTAGTATTTAAAAGTACTTCTGTGAATAAAGGGAGGCACTTTCCTAATAACAAGTAGGACCAATGTAAAATTGCATATTATATGCAACAAATATTATATCCGAGTGGTCAGGAGGCACCTGTATTCCAAGCATCAAATTTCCAGGCATCCAGAGGGGGTCGTATCCCAGTGTCCATAAGCAGTCTGTCATATAAATTCAGTCAGGTAGGAGAATCTATCGTAATAAAGTGTCCACAGAGGAATTATCTAAAGTGTTTATAGATCTCCGTCTAATGTAAGTTCACTGAACAACACCATCACGTTCGCACCGTCTTCACAAATTTATGTAAGGTAGGAAATTAAAGACGGCAATTCTTGAATGACAGTTAAAGGCACGAATGTAATTTCATCAGTGCCACAGGTGATCACATAAGTACGTGTCCCAATAAATACTATTATAGTTACATTAACAAGATTACATTTGAACGATTAATGCGAAATTATAGCATTAATACCCATATGTGTATTAAAGTTAAGCTGAAAACATAATATTCGCTACATCAGGCAAATATGATTATTATAAATTGTTATAAGTATACAAACCTAGTCAAGAGTCAGAAAGAAATATCTGTTACGATATTGTAATACATACTAATATGTTGAGCGTTAAGATAATAAAGATAGAAGAAACCAAAACAAGAGCAAAAGGGTAAATTAATTGTGTATGGTTTGATATGTTATGAAGTTAGTTTTCTTCGCTAACTCACAGAAAGCGTAATATATTTCCCTATTTTTCCAAATATCCGATAAGTTGCAGGGCCAACAGATGCCGTGTTTACCTAGTAACAGTTTCAATTCGAGCCTTTCTTTCTCTAACATTACGCAGTCATAGAGGTAGTGTTTTGGTCCATCTTCAACTAAGCATATAGTGCAGTAATTATTAATCCTATTCGTGAACCTATAAAGGTAGCTGGCAAATTTACCATGCCCGCTGAACATTTGTGTGGTATAGTAGTTGGGGATGTACCATTTCAAGCTGAGTAAATTGTAGATGTCAGGAATGAATTCGTACATGATATGATCGGAATTCATGTTCCAAATATTTTGCCATGTTTGTATACTGTCATTCCATAAAAGGCGTCTTAATGCTTGTAAACTGAGTTTGTTGTAATTAATAGGTAGTGCCTTATTTTCAGCTGCCTGTTTAGCTAAAGTATCAGCCCTTTCATTACCCTTGATGCCGCAATGAGCTTTGACCCAAGTAATCTCATAGTTAGAGGTAGAAAGTCTGATCATATTTCTAATTTCCTCAGCCATGTAATGCAAATTATTGCCATATATGATATTATATGCAGACAATGAATCAGTTAAAATATGGATGTAAGCATGATCAAAAGTACTTTCAGACCACATTATGGCGCTTTTAATAGCATACATCTCTGCTTGGAATACAGTACACCGGTTATTCAGTCGAATGTTTTGCTGATAAATTTCATTGTTACTATAGTAGGCCACAAAACTACAACCCACACTATCATTGATGCGTGAACCATCTGTGTATATATCAACATTAATAGAATAATTATTATCATAACTGCAATCTATTGGAATGCCATAATTTATTGTGTCTTTAAAGGGAAAAGGCCATTCCACATCGATAGGTGTTAAGGTACCTGATATGATGTTGATGCTATTGCCCCATTTGATTTGTTGTAACTTTTGCCTTTGTTTTATTATAATATCAATTGGGGGTTTTTGGGCGATAACTTGAAGGCTTTTGTTACTAGTAGTTCGAAAAGCTTTAGTGATTAGCATTAGAGCACGTCTTTGAGAAGAGATTAATTTCCTCTTTATATGCACTTTATTAGTGGACCAGCCCCAGGTTCCGCATGCATATGTAACGACTGGTATATAGATACCATCATAAATAATATTCATAGCACCGGAAGAAAGCCCCCAATATCTCTTTGCAACCTGTGAGAACGAATGTAATACCAGCCCAATCCGATCGGTTATATATTTTATATGGTTATCCCATCCTAGTCTAAAATCTAGGACGACCCCGAGATATTTCAGAGTTTTATTTACATGAATGGTGTTATTATTCATTTTTAATAATGGTGGCCTTAAATATAAGTTTTGCTTTCCGGGCTTATTGAAGACAANAGCACCGAAAGAAAGCCCTCAATCTCTCTTTGCAACCTGTGAGAACGAATGTAATACCAGCCGAATCCAATCGGTTATATATTTTATATGGTTACCCATCTTAGTCTAAAATCTAGGAGAACCCCGATATATTTCAGAGTTTTGTTTACATGAATGGTGTTTTATTCATTTTTAATAATGGTGGCCTTAAATATAAGTTTTGCTTTCCGGGCTTATTGAAGACAATAGCTTTAGTTTTGATATGATTAAAAGATAGTTTGTGATTGCTACCCCAGTTGCACACATTCTGTAGCATTTCGTTACCTTTATTTTCTAATTCTGCCCTTGACCTGCCACCAATCAATAACATAACGTCATCTGCGTATGCAAANATAGCTTTAGTTTTGATATGATTAAAAGATAGTTTGTGATTGCTACCCCAGTTGCACACATTCTGTAGCATTTCGTTACCTTTATTTTCTAATTCTGCCCTTGACCTGCCACCAATCAATAACATAACGTCATCTGCGTATGCAAAGCATTTCATGTATCTTAAGTTTTTTCTCAGGAAAGCGTCAAAAGTAATGTTCCATAAAAGAGGTCCACAAACGGATCCTTGTGGGCATCCTCTAGAGCAGGGGTGTCCAACCCGCGGCCCGCGGGCCGCATGTGGTCCAAGGCAAGTTCCAATGCGGCCCAATAAACGTGTAAACAAAACCGACAAATTATTTTATTATTTATTTATTTATTTTAATGGCATAAACTCAAAAAAAAATTTCACAAAGCTGTAATTTATACATATTACAGCTTTGTGACACTTTTATGCATATTTTATTTTTGAGTGAAAAGGAAATATTTTCAAATACTTGGAGAAGTGTGAATGACGAAGGAATACTAAATAAAGCTGAAGTTGTGACTCAAAGGATTAGAGATCCAAATTTGAGAAAAGGAGAGAAAGGCCAAAGGATAAAAAGTAGTGAGGAAAGTTGGAAAATTAAGGGTCAATATTTGCATAACAGAAGGTCTATTTAACCTTTCTCACTACTTTTTATCTTTTGGCCTTTCTCTCCTTTTCTCAAATTTGGGTCTATAATCCTTTGAGTTCCAACTCCAGCATTATTTAGTATTCTT